GCTTTGTAGCAGAATTTCAAGGCAGGGATTGTGATCCCCACTGCCCAAATATTTTGAGTGATGTTTCTCAGAAGTTGTTATTCAATTCCTCTTTAAAATTATATAGTTTCTTCATCTCTTTTATAGTATTTTGTAGCATTCCCAGCAGATATTCACCTTTCTCTCCATTTGTGCCCTCTTGATATGTTCTAGGTGTGTTAGGAGATCATGGTAGTCACCTGCTGCTTTGATTTCTCCTCACCCTCTGTATATGTGCATCCATTTTTTATGACCAGCCCAGATATACACATATTGGCAGAGAGAGAAAACTAATTGTCAGCTACCATTATGTTGCCTTGGCTGTAGTAGTAAAAACAGTAACATCAAATGTCAACTGGATGTTGACAAACCCTAGGAAACACTTATGGGCATCCTTTAAACAGAACAAAGATGACTGTAATTTTAGTGAAAATAGTTTGTACTACTTCAAGCCACAAATTTTTGCTGGATGTAGGCAGCAGTGCCCAAGCTCATTCACACCACTAGATTAACTGTCTTCTTCTTCAGGACTGCCTCCTCTGATGATTGCACCCAACAAACCTGGGATCTCACAACAGAATACAGGTCGTGTAATCTTTGTGGTCTGATTCCAGGTGTTTCAGTGGACCCCGGGGGACCCGTATGTAGCTTTGTCCTCTCCCTAAGGCTATCTCCAAAGGCTGTCTCTCACCTATTCTCTCTGGTAAGGAAACATTTCAGTCCTGAAGCAAACATCCCCTCTTGGGTAATGGTCTCTTCTTCCACCAGGTCAGTCACTTCATTAAAATCTTTGCTGTCCTGTACTTTGGAGACCACATTAGCAGGGACCACACTAGTTGGGGGTGGAGGCAGAACATTTTTTGGTATTTATTGGTCATTTTAACTTCATTTGAGAAGTGTTTACTTATTTTGAATGCCCATTTTTATTGGGGCTTTTGTTTTAGGGGTCTGACTTTTAAACATTTCATATTCTAGGTATTTGTCCTCTATCTGAGGATCAGCTGCCAAAAAACATTCTGACACTATAGGTTGTCTCTTTGAACTGTTGAGTATTGTCTATGGTGTATGCAAAGTTTTGTTTAGGGTAGACCCATTTGTTGATTATTGATATTTTTTTCTTGTGAAATCAAGGTTCTATTCTGAATGCCCTTACATATTTAAAATTTTTACCAATATTTCTTTGGAACAGATTTGGTTTTTCTGCTTTGATATCTAGGATTTTGATCATTTTGGTTTGATTTTAGTAAAGGGTAAGAAATATGGCTCTAATTCCATTCTTCTACATGTGCACAGCCAACTTTTCCAGCAGCATTTGTTACAGAGGCCATCTTAGGCCCAGAAAATATGTTTAGACTCTTTGGAAGTAATCAGATGGCTACACGGATATCAGGTTATTTGTATGTCTTCTCTGTTACTTTGTTATGCATGTCAACGTTTCCTCGCAGGACCACACTGCTCTTATTAGTGTAGCATTGAAGTCTGGAACCCCATTACCTCCTGGTTGGCTTTTTCTTCTCAGGATTGTTTTAACTAGTCTGGGTTTCTTTTGCTACCATAAAAGTTTTAGAAATTGTTTTTCTACATTGCAAAAAAATTGTTCATTTTGATTTCAATTGCTATAAATCTACATGGCATTTTGGTGATATGGCCATTTTCCAAACATTGTTTCTGGTTCTTCAAGTGAAGGTCATGTCTGTCAATTTCTTAATGTCCTCTACAGTCTCATTTTCACAGTAATGTAATTTTCATTATATAAGTCTCTTACTTCATTTTTTATGTCAATTGTTAAGTTTGAATTGTTTTAAGTTATTGGAAATGGAATTGTTTTCCTGAGTTGTTTCTTGGCAGGTTTATTATGAGTGCACCAGAGCACTACTCAATTTTATTTTGTTTAGTGTTCATTTCTATTCTGACACTTTGAAAATTTTCTTTATTATGGCTAGGAGTCTTCTGGTGGAATTTTTGTGTCTTCTATGTAAACAATCATGTCATCTGCAAATAAGTATAGTGTGAATTCTTACTTTCTTCTTCCTATCTTTTTCATTTCTTCCTTTTACCTGATTGCTGTTCTCAACATTTCATGTGAATTGTTTTTTTTTTTTCAGATATTTGAAATTATTACTATTTTCTCAGAACTTAATGTTTACATTCTGTGTGCAGTTTTGACACACCTACTTAAAATATCTTAATTTTTTCTGTCATTTAAATTTCCTTCAATCCCAGCCATCCACTCATCCCTTGACCACTTCTTGTTCTTTTTTTTTTTTTTTCAGATATTTTAAATTATTACTACATTTTCAGAACTTAATGTTTACATTCTGTGTGCAGTTTTGACACACCTACTTAAAATATCTTAATTTTTTCTGTCATTTAAATTTCCTTCAATCCCAGCCATCCACTCATCCCTTGACCACTTCTTGTTCTTTTTTGTTTTTTTTTTTTTTTTGAGACAGGTCTAACCATGTAATTGATCTGAACTGGAACCCACTATGTAGCACAGGGTGTTCTCGAACTCACAGCTATCCTCCTGCCTCAGCTTTCTGAATACTGGGATTATAGTCTTGCAACATCATGCCAGGCTTTCTTGTGTTTTTTTTTGTTTGTTTGTTTAACATGTTTTTGACATAATATTTATATTATTTGTCTGTAGTAGGTAAATGTGCATAACAAATTTAATCCCTTTTTTCATTGCCTTTCTCATCTCTTTCTCTATCCTCCCTCCATCTCTTGATCTCTTTACCTCTGAGAAAAATATATCTTCCCACTTCCTATTATCTCTCATTTTGTTACTTGCTTATAATTTCTATTTTGCATATAACCAAAACCAAGTAATGTCTAAGTTTGTAAGTTTATTTTTCTTTATGGCAGGGACTCTACCCTGTGTATATAAATTGTGTTATCCATTCATCTATTATGGATGTATAGGTCACTTTCAAAGTGTACCTATTACAAGTTGTGCTGCTATAAGCATGGGTATGTATTTATCATTGAAATATGTCTTTGACTCTTTCAGGAACATATCTAGAAGGCTAATATGTGGTTCAAGTGAAATTTCTATTATCATTTTGTGATGACTCTGTACTGATTTCTATTGTGATTGTACTAGTTTATATTCCAAACTAACATAATGGAATCTATTGATCATGAATGCTGAGTGTAGACTTTTAGTATGATGTTGGCAGTGTGTTTTATAAATCACATTCATTGGTTTGAGGTAAGCTTCTTCTATACATGTTCTCATCATGGTTGTTTTCATCATGAATGGATTCTTCAGCTTGTTAAAGGCTTTGTCTATATCTATTGAGATTATTATATGATTTTTACTGTTTTGTCTAATCATTTTCTTAGGCAAGATTATCAAAACCACTTTGATACAGATGCTGTAAACTTTACCAACTTTTTCATGTAAAATACTAATATTGCATATACACAGATGAGGTGGCAAAAACCTGTAATCCCAGCACTTGGGAGGCTGAGGCAAGAGGATTGCTGTGAGTTTGAGACCAGCCTGGGATGCACAGTGAGTTCCAGGTCAGACTCAACTACATAGTGAGACCCTGTCTCAAAAAACCAAAAAAAAATTGCATATAATTATTCTAAATCATTAAAAAATAAGAAAAATAAGAATTTTCCTATACAGATAGTCTACCATATGATGGAGAAAATTATTGAGCTATTAATTAAGTTAAAAAATGGATAACTTGGTAGTAGCATGGACACTGGAAATTTAGGAGAAAGTAAAAGAATCAAAGTTCAATATACTTAGAACTAGTTGTTGGCAATAACTATCAGACAGCACTTGAGCCATAGAATAACTGAAAATATAAGACCACTATTGACTCTTCAAATATACACCTCAAATTTATGACAACTACAGACAATTACACATTTAAAGCCACTTTTATTTCTCCCTTGCATTCTGAGATATTTTAATGAAAGGCAACTGACAACATAAAGTTTGCTCATGTTATAATTTATCAGTCAGCACTTAGTCAAGAAATAGAAACAAATATAATTATTTTAAAAAGAATAGAATATGGACAATTGGTTGAATAGTTATTATAAAACAAAGGCAAAAAAAGAAACATGAGTGAGGGATAGTTATGAAGAGAGAATATAAAGCAAAGATGGCTTATGGGTATAAAAATATTTAAACACTCCGAATTTTCAAATTAGTGAAATTTAGTAATCCTAGTAGAGCTTAAAATATCAGTTTTGAAATAGAATAGTAGTTTCAAGAGTCTCCAATTAGTGTCAAAAAGTCTTTTGCAGAGAGGTGACACATAGATGAATATAACAATTTAAAACCAGCTATTGTAACAACAAGCTGCTTGGTATTCGTAGACAATGCATTTGAAGGTTACCTTTGAAGAAAACCACCTTCCTTGCTGTTATATTAATCTCATTCATTATTAGCAAACTGGTACTTGATCTCTTTAGGGACGAGCATCTAGATCACCTGGAAACTTTTTGAAAAACCTCATGCTTAGTGACAGAACCATGCTTAGAAATCAAAACCAGTGATGAGAAGAAACATATTTCTGTGCTTTTATTCTCCCTAAATGATATGAATAAGGCCAACCCCGAGGAACACTGATATGGCCCCTATAAATAACATACCTAAATATATATATATATCTCAGATGCAAATTTAAAATATAAACAAACTGTGAAAATGCTCATAACTTTTAAATGCCTGTGCAGAGATATAACTTTTCCCTTGGGGTCCAAGGTCATCACTCAAAATCTACAGAAGCTGCCTAAGTTTATTGACTTACTCAAAATGGTTATGAGGAAAAGAACCCCACAACATTCACTTGATAGGTAACAACAATGAAAAGGACACAGGTTTCAGTTAAGATTCAGGAAATGGAATAAGCGCCATGAAGCTAAAAGAATAATGTGTCCCAGGAACAGGAGTTGTGTACTAGACTGTTGGTTTTCCAGCTCCAACTCCAAAAAGAATGAAAGTGATAGTGAGATTAGCTCCTTCTGTTCCCTATTCTCCACAGGGCACTTTTAATGTCATTGTTCCTCAGGCTGTAGATGAAAGGATTGAGCATAGGGGTGAAAACTGTGTACCCCATTGAGGCCACTGCACTTTTCCTAGGAGAAATTGAAGCAGCAGATGCAAGGTAATCTCCAATGGCTGTTCCATAAGTTAAGCAGACAACTGAAAGTTGAGACCCATAGGTGGAGAAGGCTTTACTCTTCCCACCTGATGATGGGAGTCTCAGGATGGAAGAAACAATTTTATAGTAGGAGAAAAAGATTCCTGAGAGAGGAAGAAAACCAGAGATGATTACAACAAAATAAATTATTGTACTTTTGGTAGGAGTATCAGAACAGGCAAGATTCAACAGCTGAGAGGGGTCACAGAAGAAATTAGCAATTTCCAAATCCTGTAAGTAGGTAAAGTGTAAGGCAATCAAATTATGCACCTGGGACATAAAAAGACGCAACAAAAAAGACACAAAAACTAAGTATCTACAGAGAGTAGGTTTCATGATGACCTGATAATGCAGGGGGTGACAGATGGCTGCAAACCTGTCATAGGCCATCACTGTCAGACGCATGTCATCCATAAAGACAAAGATGAGAAACAAAGACATCTGCATCAGACAGCCTGCATAGGAGATGACTGTATTCTGAGAACGGATGTCCACAATCATCTTTGGGACCGTGGTAGAGATTAAGCAGATGTCAGAAAAGGACAGGCTGGAGAGGAAGAAGTACATGGGGGTATGGAGGTGGGAATCAGAGTTGACAACCAAAATAATGAGCAGGTTCCCAAGCACTGTGACTAAGTACATGGACAGGAGTAGACCAAAGAAAATGTGTTGCAAGTGAGGATCCTCTGAAAGAGCCATAATATGAAATTCTGAGACACGTGTTAGATTCTGTGCTTCCATATTGTTTGGGCACCTTTGAAAAAGAAAGGAGGATTGGAAAAAAGAAACAATAGGCACCATATACTAAATAACATTAAAATCTCCCTTGACTTTTAACATTTAAAATAGCATCCAAGAACTTGAACTACATTGTCTCTACAATAATTAATTAAGTGAAATTAATAGGACACAAGTGTGTAAATAACAGTTTTTGTGGTGTGAAAAACTAAAAGGGTAAATAAGGAACAAATTGTATAATTGATATTGTGTAATAGGAGGAAAAGGTCTAAAGGAGTGAGGGAAGTGGGAAGGGTAGGAGAAAGAAAAGAATGGAAAAGAAAAAAAATGTGAGATGAAAAAAATATGGAAACAAAATCTTTGTAAATAGGGAAGGGTGGAGGGGATGAAGAGAGGCCAGGAGATTGGAGAAAAATAAGAGCAAAGATACATCATGTAAAGGTACAAGGTCCCAATGATAAATGTAACTGTATTGAATACCTAAAATGTACCAATAAATTTAATGGGAAAATATAAATAAATAAATTTGATAGTCTACAAGCAGAGATCATTGCCAGTCGTCTTCTAGGAGTTTTCATTTTTTAAAATCTTCTTCTTTAATGAATGAGGTCCTTTGATATTTTGAAAAAAAATAATATATAATGTGTGTGCTTAGCTTTAGCAGACCAGATTTTGATAAACTTAAATAAAAGGCACATAACCAATATTACCCTTGACCATAAATTTGGCATTTGTGTACACTGTGCAGATGATGAAAAAAAACTTACAATATATGAGCACTTTTGGATTAAAAAAATTTTTTGGACATATATCAGAAGCATCTTACCTCAATAAAATATCCTGGAAGGAAGAGAATGTTTTGCTCACCCCATCTGTATGCTATTGTGAGTGCCGTGGGAGAACTACTTTTTCTTTCTGATTGTATAAGTCATTTGTGTATGAGTAAATAATTTAGTATCAGGTTAAAATGCAAAGCCCTACTTGAAGTAAGGACAGGACATAATGTAAATATGTCTTGGAAGTAACCTCACTTATAAAATGCAGATAGTAATTAACTAGCTTACAGTTATGGCAAAAAAGTTTATAGTGTTGTTCCATTTCATTTATATATATACTTTTTAAATATCAAGATATTCTAGCTTGGAACAAAACCAAATTTTAATTCAAAATAACTGAATGTTAACCTATTTACAGTTCTCTCATACACCAGGTTTGATAGCAGAATCTATAATGTGTCCTCATTTTTATTTTATTTTATTTTTTATTTCTTTATTTTCTGGAAACAAGAATGAACCAGGACCTTGAGCTTGCCAGATAGGCACAGCACCATTAACCTAACTCACTAGCCCCTTATCTTCAGACAATAGCACATTAGCATTACCTATAAGTATGCACACTAATATCCAGATTTTAAAAAGGAACACTTACAAATACCATATGTGTTTTAGAAGTCATATTTTACAGTAGTTTAGGAGAACAACTATGAAATTTAAGTTCTTAATGTCTTTGAAAGTTTCCATTCTTCTGCACACATGCTCCTCAAATGAAATGGATGCCTTTAAGTCTGGGGTTTGTTTGTTTGTTTGTTTATTGGTACCTGGGATCAAATTTGGGCCCTTGCACTTGCAAGGCAGACGCTGGAACCACTGAGCTAAATGCCTGGTCCACTCTGGGGTTTCTTTTAATGGCAACATATATATGTTAGTAGTGATTTGTACATCCATAGTACTTTTATATAATTCTAAACTACATAGCTATGTAGTTTGTAACAACATCTAGTTACTTGTATAGAATTCATTGAATTGTGGTTCTGAGACTCTGAAAAGTAAGTTGAAGCACTTTAAAGTGCTTAAAGTGATGCACAGCATTAGCTGAGGCAGGGAGATCCTTTAGCACATTTGTTATACAATGTTTTAAAAGTCCTTCTGCCTTTCTCTGTGTTAAAAAGAGGAAAGATTCTAAATGGCATATTGGTTGGGGATTGTTATATGAATTACAATAACTGAGGCATGTCCAATTTTCTGTTAATCACCTACATTTGTATCTCAAAAAATCCATCCTAATGAAATGCAACCTATTACTCTTAATATCATGTGTCAAATATCTTCCTACTCTATATCAAGTAATGATATAATGTTCATGGACTAATTTCATCTTGTATAAAGAGAATATTTTCATTTCCCTCTATAGAGGAGATGGTGTACTGGTTAAAGGGCAGAAAATCAACATTTAAGTGTGCATCATTGACCTGTCACTACAGGCAGAAGGTATGTCTGTCTCTCCATTCCTACGATCTCATGTTTAACTGAACAGGGAAAATAACATTTAACTCAGAAACATTTGTGCAACTAAGGGATGTTTGGATCATTGCAGTTTTTTTCAGATGAACAATTCCATCATTAGAGTAGTGATTTTGTTGATGAAAACAGTCGGCAAAAGCCAGTAACATCTACATAGATCAGGCCCCAAGATGTGGACTAGTTCAAGAATAAATGTTTCTTTTCTTCCAGCTTTTTAAAAAAACTTTTAAACTACTTTAAAGTGTATAAATGTAGTCCACAATGCAGAAAATAGAATTGAAAAATTGAAAAATTTCATGGTATATTTTATGTGTCATTTAAGTACTTATTCTTTAATTTTCTATTGATATAGCAATGACTTTTACTTCTTTAGGTTTATGTTACATAATTGCCCTCATCCAGGGCAGTTAGTACATACACATACCACATTTTTTATTATTATTCCCCCTTCACCTCTTCGCCCCTTTCTCTTTCCCTTTGTAGTCATACCCAATCAGCTTCACATCTCACAGAGTCTACTTCTACATGTCCTCTCAGATCTTACTCTTATTTATTGCCAAAAATATCTCTACTATAATCTTGGCATGATGGAATAGTGCAGATGCTGAATTGTCAGGATTCTTCTGCTCATGATACAGCCATAAGCAAGACCTATTAATTCTAATCTCTTATTGTGTTGGATACCCTAGAAAGAGATAAATGCACAGACAGAAAATCATCGAAAGTGTCCACACAGCTGTAATGACATCACATTTTTGTGCCAAAAAACAAATAAACAAGTAACAGAAGAATCTGTCCAGTGCTTAATAGAGATTTTTATTTTGATATCCTCTCTATGCCACATATTATATAGACTCAGAGGAAGAGAAATGAAATTGATTTCTCTATAAATTAATAGCACATATTTATGTAACAAAAAGATTAAATGTCTTTTTACATAAATAGAAAAATAATTACTTCAGATAAAGGGTACTGTTGTTGACTACTATGAAGAATTGAATTATGATTATCAATAATATTTTAAACACTTTACACTTAATTTATGCTGATCATGTATTAAACACACAGGAAGTAACCATATCTTTTTTTCTAGTTTTATCCAGTTGTATTTACTAGAGATAACCTCATGACAATGTCTCTGAGATCATAAATGTGACTGAAAATTTGAAATTTAACCAGATCCCATGCACTAACCTTCCTCATGGTTCAGAACTATCATTTAAAAGCAAGCCAAAATCCAGTGGTTTCAACCATGAGCACATCAAAAGTATTTTTTATACTCTGAGAAGCTACTTGAGCAGGAATGAAATCAAGACCCCTATTTACAAAGAGTGGGAAGAATAGGATGAGGTAGACTATTGCAAGGATGTACAAGAGAGGACAAGAGGGGGATGTGTGCTGAATGACCATGTACCTGCTCCTTCTGTGATCATTGCCTGTGATCTATGCCTCTCCCCATATGATGGATACAGCAGTAAACAGAGACTGCTCTTACCTCTGATCAGCTATGCAGAAAAGCACAGTGAGCAAAGCATCCCCTGTAAGCATTGACAGGGAAGCTTGTTGGGCTGTTAATGGGACAACTTACCAGCATTCTATCTAAAGGCTTTCCTCCCTTTCTGTAAAATAAAGTGGGTAGTCATGATTTGGGGAAGACTGTACATTTGAAAGAAAATGAAACAAGCTATGAAACAAAGAGTTCAGAGGCTAGACCACTGCAATCACTCAGACATACTTCATGAGTTATCCTTAATGTCACCATTATCCTCTTTTGCTTTATCCCTTTCATAATCTTTAGGAATGATAGGGAAAGTACAGAATGACCCATTTTTGCTTTTGTATTGAGACATCCATGAAATATAGCACATGCAGGAGGAAAGCATAAGTGAATGAGTTATCTTGTACCCCCAACCCAACACAGGATATAAAATTCACTCTGCATAGTTGAGAATTTTTTTTTCAGCATTCCTTCTATAGGCCATCCAGGCTGCCTTTTAGTCAAAACATGGAGAACAAATGTTTCTGACAACCCTTTCTCTATCCATCATCTCCATTCATCACTTACTGGCTAAGGCTGCTTCTGGACTTGGCCATGACCAATGGATGCAGATCCGAAGCGACTCTCCTAACTTGTAAAAGTCTAGAGCTATGTGTTCTTTCTCAGCCCTGATAAGAAGCCAGTGTCTGACAGCAGTATCCTGACGTGGACAAATATTACAAAGGAATCATGTTATAGACCCAAATGGACTAAAGCCAACATACTGAAGGGCTAGTGAAGTATGCTGATTACTGACAATTATCTGACTTTTGTAGCCCAAAGCACAGAGAACATAATTAGAAAAATTGGTCTACTTTCTTCTAATCTCTAAGGACTTTCTATTATTAGTGAAGAAAAAGAAGAGTTAATGAGTGTCCACTCAGCTATTGTGGGTGCTTCCTCTGTTGAGAAAGGAAAATGGATGCATATTGAGGTCATACTCTTAAGTGAAATAAATAAGACACATGTGTACATACTGAATAGTTTCTCTGGTGTGAAAAACTAAAAGTGTAAATAAGATCCAAACTATATAACTGATGATGTGAAATAGGAAGAAAAGGGCTAAAGGAGTAGGGAAAGTGGGAAGGGTAGGGGAAGGGAAATAAAGGAAAAAAATGAGAAAAAAAAATGGAAACAAAGTTTTTGTAAATAGGGAAGGGAGGAGGTGGTGAACGCAGGGCAGGAGGATGGGGAAAAATGAGAAACAAAACCTGTCATGTAAAGGTTCAAGATCCCAATGATGAATGTAACTAACTGTACTGTATACCTAAAATTTACCAATAAACTCCATGAGAAAAAAAAAAGAGAGAGGAGTGTGGGGTACAATTTCCTGGGTTGGTTTATTTTCTCTTTTTTCTTCTTATTAAGATCCATCTCTGTTTTATTTACTCCCACTATTAATTGTGGTAAAATATACCTAATTAAAAACATTTTGGGGGGTACTAGGGATTGAACTAGGGACTTTGTGCTTGCAAAGCAGACAGCAGAACCACTGAGCCCAAAAACATTTTGCCATTTTATGTGCACTGTTTAGTGGTATCAGCTAGGTTGATCTTATTGTGCAACTATCACCAAAGTACCTTTCCAGAAATGCTTAATCTTCCCAATCTAAAACTTAATACTGACTTTAAAACTCTATGCTCTTCTTGCTCTCAACCCTGGCAATGACCACTTAACTATTAACATGGTGAGGAACTAAAATCTAAAAATCTAAATCCAGGAAGCATAGCAAAGAGATCTACATATTAAATTTTCTGCATTTTCCACACTACATTCCAAATGAATGCCACTGATCTTGATATTAAATTGCCCTCCTGTGTAGCCTCCTGGGTATACATTCAATATCCTTCTTTCTCAGAAAGTAGATGAATATACTCACCATAGAGGGGACCACAGAAACACTCCAAAAAGACAGGCTGCAGTTCTGAAACTTCTGAATTTCTTGAAATGGAATTATGAGACATGTGACAATATATGCTTCTGTATTATTTAAATTGATTTTGAAAAAGGAAAACAAAATATAAAAAAGAAAGCAAATACATGAACTTCTAGCACTTTCTATGCTTTTCTCATAAAGTTTACTGGTACATTTTAGGTATACAGTACAGTTACATTCATCATTGGTATCTTGTACCTTTACACGACAGATCTCAGTTCTAATTTTCCCCCACAGCCCTGCCCTCCTTTCACCCCCTCCACTGTCCCCTATTCACTCTCTATATATTTGGTATTGATTTATTCAGAAATAAAATATTTTCTAATTATATCCATATTCATCAGCACTATTTATCACTCAATCTTATTAAACTCAATCACATTTAAGCTCAAACTCAATTTATTAAAATTCTTTCAATGTTGAACTCTGTGTTATTCACATCATTTTAGATAATCTTACTTTATCAACACTTAAAAATCATAGAACAAAGAATATTGTTCATAGCAATCCCAATATTGCTGGGCTGGGGATTAAGCTTAGTGGTTTTGCCACCTGCATTGTAATCACAAGGTCCCAAGTTCAATCCCTGGTACCAAAAAGAAAATAAGTCTCAAGAATCACAATATTGCAGTAAATATAGGGAATAAGTAAGTAACATACTTCCTTTAGAAAGAAAATAATTCAAATAAAGTTTAGAAAGGGTGAGATATACATTGTTTAATTCTAAAACAAAGATCAAAATCTGTTTTAGTGTATTTAAAAAATGTAGAACAAGGAAAATATTGTTTGAATATATAATCAAAGCCAATGTATCTAATGAGAAAAACATTGTCATGTAACAGTTTCATCTTGGCATGTTTTTCTTTCTGTGATTTTCTAAATTCCCTCTCTTACAAATTTCAGTTTTTAATCAAATTTTGTCATTTAAATTTATGCAATATATAATCCTTTCTCCTGGCTTAAGTGCATTTCAAATTTAGTAAATATGTTTAGTTCAGTACACATAATCAATGCTATCTATGACCATAGTTCTGGAATTAGTGGATGCCACACCTGTCAAAAAATGAAGACTGAGGACCAGGGATTTAGCTCAGTGATTCCACCTCCTGCCTCGCAAGTGCAAGGGCCTGAGTTTGATCACTGGTACCTAAATAAATAAATAAAGATTGAGAAATTATTTGAATTTTTGAATTTTATACATGGTTATTTGCATCAAAACCCTAAAACACTACAAAATATCTGGCTTGAAATATTACTTTTTAAAATATATTCTTCTGCATTATCTGGTGAACCTTTAATCTGAGATGTGTTCAAAAATGAATATTTAAATTAAAACTTAGAACATAATTATAATTAAATTAACTATAAACTACACATTGCCATCAATCTTTCTCAAATTGTCCCTCTCAAATTTAGCCCACATCCCATTCTTCTTGCTGCTTTCTGATACAGTTTTGTTTGTTCTTTTCTGTGTCTTTTTGGGCTGCCTCAATGTCCTCATGCAACTCTCAATGTTTATGGGAAGTTCTGACAAAATCAAAAGCGTCCTTATCCTGCTTACTCACTGTTATGATCTAGCACCATGCAATTACTGACTCTTTCAAGAAGTCAAAATGACTATTATAGGTGAATGGCTTTAATTGATTCAAAACATCTTGGGCCACAATGGCAGAACTAAATACCCTCAAAGAAGAGTCCTTTCCAGAAATGCTTCAGAAAGAAGCTAGTGTAATGGTGAAAGTGTGCTCAGAATAAGGGGAAGATTTATTTTATTTTAGTATAAATTGCCTTCCATTTTAATTTTTTTTTCTTTTCAATATTCACCACTGGTTTTGATCATAAGCTGTAATCAATCCTTGATATTTTCAAGTAATCCACTCTTTCAGTTTTGACACTATAACACTATGGAAGATGCTAAAATTAAGGTTTCAGTGTCAACATCTTCATTTCTAGTTAACATATTTTCTTATCATTGTTTTCTGATAAATTCACTGTATAAATAATATTCAGATACATGAGGGCAATCAATTTTATTGTTTTGTTAGTAGGCCGCATAATAGAATTGGGAACATATAAAAGAAAAAAGCACAGGAAGTAGTGTAGTCATAGCTAATTATTTTCTTTCTTAATATAATGGAGATAGTAATCACTTAGCTTATAAACAAATTACAAATGTAGTTATAAAACTTCAAAATGTAGACTAGTGGTTCTCAGTCTTATTTATCAAAATATTACCCATGACTATTTAAACATATATGGACAAAACTAAACATCACTTAAAACAGAATATTTGCATTTGGAATTCCTTGTCACCCTTCCTTACAACATGATTGAGAATCACTGCCTGGCATTTACAAAACACTTAATTAATATTTCCTGTTATTATTTTTAATTTTTTTCTTCATTAGTACATTTTAGGTATGCAATACAATTATCAACAATACTACCAATATTAAAATAGAGACATTTAATCCTATGTGCTTCAGATCTAGTATGTTATAGAGTTTTGAATGATCACCTTTGATATTATTTTAGATCTTTGGGACCTTCCTAATATTGATGCAAATGCAAACAGGAAAGCACTGTGGTGAAGTCATGTTCAGGATGGTTCCTTTTTAGCCAAAAAAATGTATGTTCACTGTTTCACAGATGTTTTTATCTTTTTATATTTTCCCTATACCAAACAAATTTTTGATTTTAAGAAAATAGAAATAAAAGAGTTACACACACACACACACACACACACAGACATACACACAGAGACATACACACACACATAACATCATTAAAAGAGACACAAACAGAAATCTCAGATATTTTAGTTAGTGGTATGGTGTTTAAACTTTTTATTAATGTTCATAATATACATTTTTTTACCCTTATACATATCCAACCTTATTGACTGGAAGAGCAACAATTGTCTACTTTAATCCTTCCAAATGGAAATGGCTTTGTTGAGGAGAGTCCTCTAATGACAGTGATGAGTGTGAGACATATTAATCACCCAAAGTATGTCATATAATTAATTAGTGTTGCTGACAGCATTCAAAATTAATGTGGATATCCTGGGTCTGAGGCATTCACTATTTGATTCTGTCTTTTAATTCAGAATATTTTTAGCAGAGCTCTAGAGAACCCCATCACAGGTGTTTCCAAAGTCATTAGACTCTATGTTGTTTACTGCAGCTGAATGAACTCAAATCCTGATTTTTTCTCTCTCTCTGTGAGATTACATAACTCTAGGAAAGCTGAGGGAGGAAAATCATAATGCTTCAGCCCAGCCTGGGCAACTCAGTGACTCAGCAACACACTATGATTTTAAAAAATATATTTAAAAAATTTATTGAGTTTATTGATACATTTTAGGTATACAGTACAGTTACATTCATTATTAGGATCTTGTACCTTTACATGACAGGTCTTGGTTCTCATTTTTTCTCCTTGTCCCTGCCCTTCCTTCACCCCCCCTCGCCTCCCCATTTACAAACAGTTTGTTTCCATCTTTCCATTTTCTCACATTTTTTCTTTTCCCTTATTACCTTTCCCCTACCCTTCCCACTTTCCCTACACCTTTAGCCCTTTTCTTCCCATTTCACAATGTCAGTTAAAAAATATTTTTAT